TGTCTCAGGGTTCAAGGCTGTATAGGGTTTAGGCGGTTCAGGGACTATGCAGATTTGTTGGCTCGAATTTCGGAGTTCAGGACTGGGGAAAGGATTCGGGAATGTGGTCTGCATACTTAGGCCTCCAGGGGCCTAGTGCGATGCCGTTTTGGGAGGTGTAACATAGCTTTGAGTGTGGAGTTGAAAGCCAAGTGTATAAAATGTTGAAATGACGGGTTATAGGGCTCATGAGACAACAAGGGGGATCCGATTCTGAGAGGTTTGGCTCGCCTAGACGATCTTCTGGCCACAGGCTAATGCAGGGGATGAGAGGTTATGAGTATTGGGACCCCAAAACCTAACGGGCGAGGAGACTCCAAAGTGTGGTCGATTCTGATCTAAACCTAAACCCTAAACCCTGTACACCCTAAGCCCTGTAACCAGCATGGTGTTCCCGACCAGATGCGGTAAGCTAAAAGAGGCGTCAACAAAAAAAAGAAAGCCTTAGTTTACCGGCAGGTCAAAGACGAAGGTCAGGACCTCTACGCCTCCGCCGAGTCCGACAAGAAGCTGGAGCAGCTCCAGCAGGCCTTTTAATTTGTCGCTTTGCTTTAGGGTTTAGGTTTGAGGTTTTTATTTTTCTTATTTTTATAATATAACTCCCGGGGATTAATAAGAATACTATTTTTGTTCGGGTTCTCAGGGCGGCTAAGGTTTAATTAGGGACGTTAGCACCTTCTTTTTGGGTTTAAGGTTTTGTGTCTAGGGTTGAGCTAAGGGGCAAGGTTCTGCAGGGTTTTTAAGCTCCGTAGGTTATAAGGTGCAAGGTTCTACAGGGTTTGGGAGCGTGCTGCAAACACCCGATTGTGTACAACCGCGAAGAGCTGAAGGGGGTAGGGTTTAGGGTTTAGGAATTATTTTTCATAAACATCTCCGTCAAAGCAGTTTTTATAAAGACAATTTAGGAATGTTGTTCGACATGTTGGGCTCAATACTATACCACATACATACTACGTATAATACAGTATGAACTTTTACATGAACTTATATAACTGTAATATTTCATATTATACAGCTTTGCGCTGCTACTTTGTGGCTCCGGCCATTTCGCTGTTGTTGTTCGCCGCGTTTGTGGTTGTTTGGCTCGATACCTGTGAGCCTGCCAGGGCAAAGACGACTCCAAGGACGACGAGAAGAAAACGAAGAAAAAGGACAAAGAGAGTGAGTGAGGGCGGCCGCGAATGCTGTTGAAAATTGGATGCTGCCCTTTCCGGACTCGGCATGAACCTCTGACTCCTTGGGTTTTATTCCTCAACCTCGTTGTTGGGCTTGGAACTTGGATTTGTCATGGGATTGTTCTAGGAATGATGAAGAGAACTGGAAGTATGGTAATAGCCCTGGCCCGGCACCTTGTCTTTCAATCTGTGCCAAAGATGTGGAACACCGGATGTTAAGAATTGGTGCAACCTGCACAGTGAAGACCGCACCCAAACGGCGTCAAGACACCATGCATCCAGCTTTGTGAGAGTCTGTCAACTGCAGTTCCGAGGGCCCGACTCCTGGGAGAGCTTCCCCGGTGTTTGCAGCGGGTTTCCACGGGATTTGGTCCGTGAGGTCCGAACACCGCCGGACACCGTCAGGCCAAGAACCTCTACAATCTTCAAACTCGGTAACCTTATTATATATGTATGTATATATATATATACATATACATATATATATATATATATATATATATTAAACGCCCGTATGTAAGCGCCAAATCCTCAAGCACTTGGGACCAGTGGTTAGATGGCAGTTGCATTGCCTTCTACAGCCCCTGATCATTTCGGCCCTACCAAGTACCGAGAAAACAGACGAGCGTTTATTCTTGTGAGGATATTTTGTGAGCAAGAGGTACCGTTCCCCATCTGGAAAGACTTTCCAAAGCAACCGAGACCAAATCCTGAACACGTTGTTGCAAATGACTTGTGCTTAGACGCACGGCAGAGAGATCTGATGCCAACTCCGATGAGTTCGACCGACGTAGAGACGCCGCAGAGCGACATCCCGTCTGATGAACCCTAAACCCTAAACCCTAAACCCTAAACCCTAATCGGACGGGGCAACGTCGCATCAGATCTCTGGCTCTTTTTTTCCTGCCCGCCGCAAGGGGCATTTTCATCAAATACCTATAGTCTCCATTGTAGTTCCTTTTTTTGGTTTAACCAATTATATACTATGTACTTTATAAGGTATCCCCAAAAAGGAACTACAGTGGAGACTACAGGTAGATTTGCAAGGCCCGGAAGCCCAGACCATCAAACCCTCTCAGCCCTTATTTGGGGGCTCTTCTGCACCTTGCGGCCTGATGGATTTCTGATAGTGAACCTGCGCGGACGGGCTGTGGTCCACCCGACAGAGACTGGCACATGGCTTACCCACCGCATATGTTTGCGGAATACGATGCTTTTCATTGAGATCCGCTGTCCGGGTGGCTTGGCCATGTTGGAGTCAAGATCCACGGCTAATGGCTGGTCGACGTATGCTTTCGGGTCTAGAGGTGGTGCTCCGTAATCCTGCGGTTGAGGATTGAGGGCCTATAGTGCTGGATGTGGCAGGTGAGAGGAATCCAGGCATGCTTGCGGGCGGTATCCACTCACGAAGATTCCATGCACACATGTCAGCACCAATCGTGGACACCGCGAGTTACCAGGTTGCAGTTGTTTATATCATATCTACAGAATCTTCAGAAAGTGGGTTTTTATGTGGGATGTAGGGTTCTAGGCCTTCTCGTAAGGCCTATGTCAGGGGAAGGGAAGTGTCAAGGTGTGAGGTGTCGGGGCTGGTTGCCATTGATCGGTGTACAGGCTAAGGAAGCATGTCACGAGCTGGAAACCTGAGCCTCGATACCTGGTACCGTAGCTCCCGGTATAGTCTTGCAAACCCCGTATCCCGAAATCTGATTGCACTACAGTGACACTTCAATTTGTGTAGCTTAGAGGCGGAAAGGGCAGACCTCAGTCTGTTGTGACGGCATGTACAATCCATAAGCTCTGTTGGATGGATTCTCGCCATAGCTGCGAAGCAGCCCGGTCGCGCTGCGCCGACCTTGGCACAGACGAGCTTTGCCAAACTTGCTTCATGTCGGGAAAACGGGCATGTTATCTGAGCCTGGTAGAAAGACGGATTTCCGATTTCCGTCCAGGTCCGCCAGTCGTTTACACCAGAATCTAAAGCAGTCACCGTCAGGTTTGACCGTTTAGTCTGCTGCACGGTTACAGACCTCGACGGTTCGCGACAGTCGATGGGTCTAGAATTCCTGTAGGCCCTATGAATGATATACTCCGTGGACTAGATCCTGCAAACCCTTAAATCTCTCAACCCCAAAGGGCCCAAGTTACAGGAAAAAATACTTTTGGGGCCCACATACCTACAAAGTATAGCCACCATACTACTACTTGGACCCTTTGAGGGAACGGTGGACAGGTTGCCCCGGAAGCATGGCGTGGCGGAGCAGATTTGGGAGCTTCGGAGCTTCCGGTGGGTCCCGAGCCTCAGATCTTCAAGCTCTGGTTTAGGGGTTTAGGGTTTATAGGGGTTTAGGGTTTAGGGTTTAGGGGTTTAGGGTTTAGGGTTTAGGGTTAGAGTTCTGTAGTGGTTTATAGGGTGTTGTAATTATGGAGGCCAAAGACGAAAGATTAAGCTGCGAAGAGGAGCCACACAGCCTCGAATCGGCCCAGCAGGGCGACAACCGGAAGCTTCCCGCAAGGTGCATCTCCGGGCACCCAGAGTGGCCCAGCAGTTCCAATTCCTTTGAGGCCTCTTTTTTCATGGTGCCGGGCTTGAATCTTCATCGAATTTACATTGGTGGGTTTCACAATCGGCAATAGTTGAGGCGGGTTGTCTTGGGTTTGGGATGGCGAGTGTTGGAAGATGTTGAAGGCTGCAGCTGCTAGGCTTTGTTCACGCGTTCGAACAGCAATGTGCTCACATACGTCGACTGTCATTGGTATCTGCATTGACGGTACCAACAGAGCGACAGACAAAACGACAGACAGACTCTTGTGCGGCCTTCGGGTAGTGAGCTTCGATTGTGTTCGAGCTTTTGGGCCTCTACGTCTTTTGCAGGAACTTGTTTAATAACTTTCATGGTTTCGGGTTGACTCTGGTGAGGGTCAGCCAGTGCACAGGTGATGTGGGGCTTCTGAGGTTTGGCTTCCAGAGTCTGTATGAGGTCCTTACATGTCGACTGCTACTGCTGGACCTTTGCCAGAACTCTGCAGCTTGATGGTTCGACAAGATCCGCGAAGCCTTTTATGGCCCGCCAATGTCTGTGGACCCACGTGTGCGCGGCCCTTGAGGTCTTCCTCCTCCAGCAGATCACGAAGGCCTCGACGATTCGGTGCAGGTTTCAGCCGATCAGCTTCAGTGCGGTTCCGATTCGATGCAAGCTTTCGGGGCTTTCTCCTCAACTCCACTCCGTTGCTTCTGAGAGTCTCGGTGGGCCCAAAGTCCACAGACAGAACTCATGCCGAGAGTTGTGCATCCGAGAAGTCCGTCCCCCTCTTTCCGGTCCGTGGTTCTTCTCCTGTCGTGCCGAGGATGGACATAGTATGTTGTTTCCAGGGGCCAACGAGTCGCACGTTGCACTCGCGGTCATTCGTAAGCACTTGTCACTATCATCAGCGTTATCAAGGCCCTCTCTACAGCCCATAGTTCTGCAACTGCACCACGGGGATTCGGGATCTCCGCCGCAAACGCCAGGACAGCCGTCCCCCCTCGCTTGAGTCTGGGTCCCCTTTGGGCTTCGGCGGCGCCCCGGAAACTGTGTGGACAGGACATCTGAGAGATGAGGGACGTCTTGCCAGAAGGAAAGACGGGTTCCTGGAGCGTGCAATAGCAGTGGCAGCTGTCCTCAATGCCAAGGCTCTCGATCTCTTGAACCTCGTACTATCTCTCTGTGTTTGTTGTTCGCCGTGCCTCGCTCTGTCTCGAAGCGAAGTGTGCAGCAGCCTCCTTGCCGTGAGTAGCTGAAGCCAATGGAGAGATTCCTTCATCGACGACGGGATGGGCGGATCCTGGACGTGGACGAATTTCAGGTGGCCAAGGCTCTGCTGGCCGGAGAAACAGAGCTCCTGGGCCGGGAGGTCGATTCCGGGGAACACCTCTTCGACTTATGCTGTCACTTCGGCCACGAAAGCACGGCTGCAGCCATGATTTCATACCGAGTGCCAGGGTGCGTGTTCAAGGGTTCCCACAGCTTGCGGTCTCCTCCTGCCTGTGAATCTCTTGGATCACGACAAGCTCTCCGTGGTGTGTGCAAGTGTGTGGGTCGGAAGACTTGCAGACACTGCAGCTGGGGTATTTCAGATCAAAAGAAGGGTCTTTGGATGGAGGATTGGGATGCAAGTCTCCAGGATGCCAAAAGCACCGCAGAAAGCTCCGCTGCAAAGCCCTTGGTTCGCGCCTTGCTGGAGGCCTTTCGCTCCCAGGCGGCTGTTGAAGGAATCGACACGGCTGATGCCATGGCTTACCTTCTCGACGTTGCCATCCTCATCGGCGATGCCGAACTGGCGAGATGCTGCGCCAAGCACTGCACCCGTTTGCCGCTAAGGCGCTGGAGGAGCGACGAGCTTGTGAGGAACATTCGAGATGACTTCCCGCTATTTCGAGCAGAGATTCGGGAGGAAGACGTCTTGATTGCCGCTCTGGCCGCCGGCCTGGAGCTCCAGCATCTGACTGTCACTTTCTGGGGCGGTTCCGTTGCGGAAGCCATCGTACTTTCCGCAGACACGGAGCTCTGGCAACGAGTCGAAGGCCTTCAGCTGCGGCTCGGGCCCTGGCCAACGCATGAAGAAAATAGCGAGATGGCCGATCTTCTCCTCGAGCGCTCCGACGGCCAAGTCCGGCTGAGCTCGGAGCGCATGCATCGGGCCAAGAGGGCCGGCCTCGCACTGAGCTCGTTTCAGGCGGAGGTTCCCTTCGTCTGCCAGGGATGTGGCGATGATGGGTATGTTCGGCTCTCCTTGCTGGACTTGGCGATCCTCGTTGGTCAGAGCGACTGCAGCCGACTCTGCGGGCCGATGGACATCGTGGAGACGGGGTTTACGCTGCAAGCGAGCCTTGAAGCCATGCCTTCGGAGTGGGAGGACGAGGAGCCGTGCTCCCGCTGTGGCTCTACCTCGTTTCGAATTGCAGATGACTGGGCCGAGAGCATCGCATCGCTCCCGGAGCGCCGGGCTGCAGCAGCCGAGGCCCTTCGCAGGGCGCTGCAGGCGTCCCGCCGAAAAACCGCAATCTCCGCAGGCTGCGGGCTCTTCCAGGCCATGCAGTGCTGGGCTTGCGGGAAGTCGGTGCCAATAGCTTTGGTAGACTTGGTCTTGACATTCGCGGCGGAGCGGCCGTCACTGCTGCAGGCCCTCGAGGGACGTGAGGGGGAGCTTCCGCCCTTGGGCCACTGGTGGGAGGACTCGGAACAGCGAGTTCACCAAGACCCTCGGAGTCCACAGCCGATGGTGGAGAGTGCGGAGCCACATGCACAAGCGGACAGCTTGGGTGTCGCAGAAAGGCAGCCTGCAGGCGCCGCTGCCTCGTCCAGCAACGACATGCAGGCGCAGCCTGACAGCACAAGCGAGAAGGAAAGCGGCTCCGACCAGGACACCACCAGCGATCTCCTCACGGCCCTCCGCAACAGCAAGAGCGACAATCCGCCTTTGAGTGGCGACGGCGTGGTGATCTTCCGGCTCACTCGCAAGGCCCACGCGGAGGAGGTGAACGCCGTCCTCTTCGATGCGACTGGGCCTTTGTGGCCCTTGCACCGCCGTGTGCTGGAGGCCGGCTGTGAGGTGGCGCCGGAATGGTCTCCCATCAAGGCCCTCTTCGTGCCCTTGACCCAGCCGCAGCTGCAAGAGCTCACACAGGGCCACCCGATCTCGACCACGAAGTTAACATCACTTATAAGGTCACAAGCTAGTGCCTGCATGGTCTAGACACATCTCACTTTCATGATGATATGTGTATAGGTATGTTTCATGTATATAATGCAAGGGTATGAATAATTAGACAGCAAATACCTAACGTAACTCCGAACTCGAGGCAACATCTACGAGTTGGGGAAGGTGCACCTGCTGGCCCTGCAGTCGGATGCCGAGCTTCTCACGGAGGCCTTTAATGGAGAGCTCCAGCGCAGCGTTCGTCCCAAGCTCCGCCGCGAAACTCCACGCAGGGATGAAGAAGAGGGTGCACGGGATCAGGAGCCCTTGCTTGTGATGGAGGGCGGTATCGATGGTGTCCGAACGGATTCTGATCTGGGCTACCCCGTCTACGAGGCCTGATGCGAAACGCCACTACGGAAATCGCAAGCGGGTGCCTTGACATCCACGACATGTCAGTTTCAAAAACCGCCTCCAAACCCAGAGCCCTTTTGACAAATATAGCTGATGTTCACCCCATTATCGAATGTCTCTGGCACCGTCAGCCGGGCCACCGGGAATTTGCTGCGAGCGCCTCGTCTACGCCACGGCCCGGAAACCACGGGTCTTGTTGCCCTGGTGGAGGGCCCGAGACGTATAGAGCTCCCACATGCAGCGCATCTATGTACAGCCGCATAGCTTCGGGAGGGCGAGACATCTTCTGCAAGAGATTCATAATTCTTGCCATTATAAATTTAAAAGTCAGACTGCAGACGTGTGGTACGTCGATATCTCTTGCCCACGTCCCGCCCACGTGAACCATTTCGATCAGTTTTGCAGGCTCCGTTCTTGCGAGTGCTTGGGTGCCATGGGCCTTGTTGCTCTGGAACCCAGAAGCCTGGCCAGACAGCCTGAGTGTTTGTGGACCCGATTTATTCAATTTTAGTTGCACTTCATGCTTCGAAGCTCGAAACCTTTCGGCATCGTGTGAACGATCGGCGCAAGTCATGCCATACATGCACAATGTCGAAAGTCCTTACTGTATATATAAGTTTGTTGAAGAATGGGAAGACAGTTTCTGATGTAGCGTCAAGAATCATGGACTGCAAGTACACACTGCCTGCGCTGGTCTTTGTCTGCACTTCAGCCCTGAAGCCACGAGTCCTGCTGCTCTGGCAGATGGGCGCAAGGCCTGCGACCGCCACGCTGCCGATGAAAAAGGGCTCGCGTCTGCGCACGTGTCGTTTGCACACATTCCCGCTACCACCGTTCAAAGCATGCGGTCTGAGTCATTGGATTCATGCCCATGACACTCCTGCCAGGATGCGTGGACATGGCTGCGCCGAGTGCCTGCATCAATTTGCGAATCCTGAAGGGCGCATCTGCTGAGTTATATATGCGGGAAGGCAGGGTTTTTGTGTGCACGTGGGGGCTTATTTCGGCTTGAGGCTTCAGGCATATACGATCATATATGGGTTTCATGCAGCACGATGGCGGCTTCGGCAATAATTTCAGACCATGGTCTATTTCAGGCGGGTGTTGTTTGGTAAGTTTGGGGTTGAGTGTTGAAGGCTTCCGGCGTTCGAGGGAGAAGCGGCCGTGAGAGACGTGCGAAGTGCGGAGCCCGTGTGCTGCCGTACTTTACGAAGCAGGAACGTCCGTGCCGTAGTTGTCTCTTTTAAGGCGGGCTGGTGAGAAGTGGATTCAGCTGGAAAGGACACGAGACCTTAATTGAGAGGTGCTTGCCCGAATCATGGTAGAGGTATGGTAGCAACTTTCGGGGCCGAGCCCTGCGAGTTCATGCCGGCAGGTCGTACTCGCGGATGCCCACAGGTACCACAGGCCGCCCCAGTCAGTCAGCTGCAGTGGATTGCGACGGTTTTAGAAATGACGCGAATACGCGTAAGCTGACCGTTGTCAGAGTTTGTGCTATGTTACTGTCGGGGGGTTGCGAGGTCGACTTTGAGGTTAGAAAGCAGAGTTTCTGCTATGTTACTCTCGGGGGGTTGCGAGGTCGACTTTGAGGTTAGAAAGCAGAGTTTCTGCTATGTTAATGTCGGGGGTTGCGAGGTCGACTTTGAGGTTAGAAAGCAGAGTTTCTGCTATGTTACTCTCGGGGGGTTGCGAGGTCGACTTTGAGGTTATGTAAGATTCATTCATTGGGCTCCGCCAAGTACAAGATACGATCAAAGTTCAGACCTAGTTTAGGCAAGTCAACAATTCAAGCAGTGATGTCGCATCGCTTGTCAACTGATGCAGGTGCCAATATATGTATTGTCGTTCGTGTAGGAACACCTGCTCGCCATGGGAAGTTGGCCAGGAAGGCTCTGCCCACGGAGCCGCAACTACATGTAGGGCCTACTTGTAGCTCCCGTGTTCCAGGTGGCATCTAATAAATTACAGCAGTTATAAAGTTATAAAGTTAAAAATAGTCTGAAAGCCTGCGAGAAGGTTATAGAAGCCTGTCAAACTTTCTATGACCGTTTCAAACTCCCAGGACAGTGGTGTCACACCGCCCACCCGACGCGGCAATATCTTCACGTAATGAATAAGTAACCCAGGCTAGGGTCACAGTCGCAATTCCCTGCACTCCTCGATGAGCGACTGCATTCTGCAACCGAATGCAGTGCTGAAAGGACCCAAGCCAAAGGCGAAAGCTTAAGCAGCGAAGAGCAGCAACCGGTTGCTCCCTGCTAGGTGCAGCTGTGTGCACACAGTGCAGCGCAGCATTTGCAATTTCTCTGAGGCCACAGTTTCAGGGTATACCGGGCTTGAATCTTCATCGGTTTATTGCAATTAATGGAGCAAGGTGGTTCAGCAAGCGTTTTTCGTTGAGGCGGGTTGTGTTGGCTTGGGACTGATTGTTGGAAGGATTTTGAAGGCTGCAGCTGGAAGGCTTTGTTCACGTGTTCGAACAGCAACGTGCTCACATAATAAGTCGGCTGTCATTGGTATGTGCGTTGACGGTACTAACAGAAAGACTAGACGAAACGACAGATAGACTTTTGTGTGGCCTTCGGGTAGTGGGCAGTGTGAGAGCTTCGGTTTTTGTTCGAGCTTTTGGCCTCTACGTCTTTTGCAGGAACTTGTTTCATAACCTTCAGGGTTTCGGGTGGACTCTGGTGAGGGTCAGCCTATGTAGCATTCAACTTCGAACAGGTGATGTGGGCCTTCAGGGGTTCGGCTTTCAGAGTCCGCAAAGGGTCCTTAGATGTCGACTGCTACTGCTGGACTTGGTCAGAATTTTTGCAGCTTGGTTCGACAAGATTCGCGAAGCGTTTATGGCCCGCCAAAGTCTGTAAACCCAAGTGTGCGAGGCCCCTTGAGGTCTTCCCCCTTCCAGCAGATCACGAAGGCCTCGACGATTCTGTGCAGGTTTCAGCTTCAGTGCTGTCCTCTTTCGGGTCCGATTCGGTGCAAGCTTTCGGGACTTTCTCCTCAACTCCACTCCGTTGCTTCTGAGAGTCTGTGTGGGTCCAAAGTCCACAGACAGAACACGTCATGCCAAGAGTTGTGCCTCCAGGAAGTCCATCACTCTTTTTCCGGAGCGTGGTTGTTCTCCTTTCGTGCCGAGGATGGTCACCGTAGTATGTTGTTTCGTGTTGTTTCCAGGGGTCAACGAGCGGAGGGGTGCACTTGTGGTCATTCTCAAACACTTGTCACTATCATCAGTGTCTTTTCAAGACTCCCTTTGCAGCCGACAGTTCTGCGAATGCACCACGGGGATCTCCGCCACGAATGCCTGGACAGCCGTGCCCCTCGCTCGAGTCCACTTCGTGCTTCGGCGGCGGCAACTCTGGACAGGACATCCGGGGCCAAAGAAATCCTAGGAGAGCTTTGGAAAGATGGGTTCATGGAGAGTGCAATAGCAGTGGCAGCTGTCCTCAATGCCAAGGCTCTCGATCTCTTGAATATAGTACTATCTCATCTCTCTGCTTGTTCCGCCGTGCCTTTGTCTCGAACCCGAAGTGTGCAGCAGCGTCCTTAGGCCGTGAGTAGCTGACGTCCATGGAGAGATTCCTCCATCGACGACGGGATGGGCGGATCCTGGACGTGGACGAATTTCAGGTGGCCAAGGCTCTGCTGGCCGGAGAAACGGAGCTCCTGAGCGGGGAAGTCGATTCCGGGGAACACCTCTTCGACTTGTGCTGTCAATTCGGCCACGAAAGCACGGCTGCAGCCATGATTTCATACCGAGTGCCAGGGAGCGTGTTCAAGGGTTCCCACAGCTTGCGGCCTCCTCCTGCTGTTGAACCTCCTTATCCACCAGAACCCGTTCGAATGAATGTTGTGTGCCAGTGTGTGGGTTGGAAGACTTGCAGAGGCTGCAGCTGGGGTGTTTCAGATCAAAAGAGGGGTCTTTGGATGGAGGATTGGGATGCAAGTCTCCAAGATGCCAAAAGCGCCTCAGAAAGCTCCGCTGCAGGGCCCTTGGTTCGCGCCTTGCTGGAGGCCTTTCGCTCCCAGGCGTCTGTTGAAGGAATCGCCAGGGCTGAAGCCATGGCTTACCTTCTCGACGTTGCCATCCTCCTTGGCGATGCCGAACTGGCGAGATGCTGCGCCAAGCACTGCACCCGTTTGCCGCTAAGGCGCTGGAGGAGCGACGAGCTTGTGAGGATTTTTCATGACCGCCCGTTTCTTCGAGCAGAGATTCGGGAGAAGGACGTCTTGATTGCCGCTCTGGCCGCCGGCCTGGAGCTCGAGCATCTGGAAATTCATGCTTTCTGGTACGGTTCCGTTTCTCTTGCGGAAGCCCTCGTGCTTTCCGCAGACGCGGAGCTCTGGCACCGAGTCGAAGGCCTTCAGCTGCAGCTCGGGCCCTGGCCAACTCATGAAGAAGATAATATCGACATGGCCGGTTTTCTCCTCGAGCGCTCCGGCGGCCAAGTCGGGCTGAGCTCGGAGCGCTTGCATCGGGCCAAGAGGGCCGGCCTCCCCCTGAGCTCGTTTGAGGCGGGGGTTCCCTTCCGCTGCCATGGATGTGGTGGCCATGATCGGCATGTTCGGCTCTCCTTGCTGGACTTGGCGATCCTCTTTGGGCAGAACGACTGCAGTCGACTCTGTGGGCCGATGGACATCGTGGCGACAAAGTTTACGCTGAGAGCGAGCCTTGAAGCGATGCCTCTGGAGTGGGAGGACGAGGAGCCGTGCTACCACTGTGGCTCTACCTCGTTAATTCGAGATGAAGATTCCTGGGCCGCCCAGAGCATCGCATCGCTCCCGGAGCGCCGGGCGGCAGCAGCCGAGGCCCTTCGCACGGCCTTGCAGGCATCCCGCCGAAAAACCGCAAGCTCCGCAGGCTTCGGGCTCTTCCAGGCCATGCAGTGCTGGGCTCGCGGGAAGCGGGTGCCAGCGGCTTTGGTGAATTTGGTCTTGACATTCGCGGCGGAGCGGCCATCACTGCTGCAGGCCCTCGAGGGACGCGAGGGGGAGCTTCCGCCGTTGAGCCACTGGTGGGAGGAGTCGGGGCAAGATGGTGCGAGCCAGAGTCAACAAGCGGCTGATCCCTGTGTGCAGGCAGGGCCGTCTTCATCTGCGAACGGTGGCGACACGTCGGTCGCTGCAGCTTCCTCCGCGACAATTAATACTGACACTCCAAACCCAGATGTGAAGCCTTCCGCCGACGATGACCTCATGATCGCCCTTCGCAACAGCAAGAGCGACATGCCCCCTCTGAGCCCAGAAGGTGCTGTGGTCTTTCGGCTCTCCCGGCAGAACAATGCCCCGCGCGTCAATGACGTGCTCCTCGATGCGACGGGCCCATTGGCTGAACTCCACATGCGAGTGTTGGAGGCTGGTTGCGAGGTGCGGGTTCCAAAGACTGACTACTGATAGAGACTATTGGACTTTCGCATAAAATCTTACGGTGACCACTTTTCAACATGTGGAGGGCGGGCTCGGGCCACGAGCCAGGGAGGTAGCATAAAATATCTATTTAAATCTCCGCATGTTTAAATGTATGTAAGCTAGTACCTTATACACACGTGCTACACACACGTACAC